GAGGGCGATCCGCCGCCCCCTCCATCTGCGCCGCGCTCTGCACTCTGCGGGCGGGCGGTCACCGGGGCTGGAGCGGCCGGACACGCGGGGCAGCGGGGCGTCCTCCGGCCACTGAGCACCGCGGCCTCCGGGCGGATGCTGGGCCCGCGCGGGTTCTGAGCTATTTATAGCGCCCGGGCATCACGTGGGCGGCGGGGGAGGGGGCAGGCCGAGGCCGGTGACCGGCTGACGACCTGGCTTGTTGTGCAGCCCGCTGGCCCTGCTCCCACACCTGCCGCCTGAATAGCCTAAATATAGCAGGGTCCACCCGGCCGTAAACAAAAGGCCACGATGGGCCCCCAGGGCGGAGGAAGAGGAAGCCCGGAGGAAGGGGAAATACGAAGGCTGCCCTGGAGGCCTCAGCGGGCACCCTCTCTGTGCCCCCAGAGCCTCCCGGACCCCCTCGTGGCCCCCAGCAAGGAGGGTTTCCACACATTACAGAGTGCTCCCCCAGCCACCGCCCCCCAACAAGAAGGATCTTCTGGGGCTCCACTAGGCCCTGTCATGCAAGAAAAAGAGACAGGGACACAGGGCTGCACACTGAGGGCCGGAAGGGGCCCCTGGTGCCCCCACAGCCTGGAGTGACATCAGACTGAGGGTGCCCACTGAGGGAGTGTGAGGCAGGCCAACATCCACTGCTTGGGGCACCCACCTGGTGGACTAGGGTCCTCCGCCCAGGCCCCAACTTCTAACCTTCCTGTGTGACTTTCTTTTTTCCTGGGCCCCACTGGTCCACACAGCCCTCTGACTCCTCAGAAGTGGTCACTGTACCTCCAGTGTGCAGGTGAGGGCACTGAGGATGAGTCAGGGTCACACAAGAGCGTCCAGAGGAGCTCTGCCCACCCCTGTGGGTCCTTCATGATGTCTCCACAGGCCTTGGTCCAGGTGTGGAGCTCTCTGGACCCAGAGTGGGTGACTGGGGCCTCGGCACACAGGGTCCCCAGGGGCTTCGCCTCCCTGGGAACTTGGCTCTGAGCCCATCTCCCACACAGCCTGCCCGAGCCTTCAGTCAGCAGTCCG